TGTAAAAAAGGAGTAGCAAGTTGAAGTAGATACCATCCTGGATTTTTTTGACAGCTACACTTTGGATAACACCACTACATTCTCTGATGAATCCATTTTGAGACGACTGAAAGAAGTAAGAGGCGCTCATTATGTAGCCCTCTTGTTGTTAGCATCTTACATATTCCAAATGGAATGCAATGAAGGGGTTGTAGTAACCAATAAGCTCCATGCCTTTAAGAAAGTTTCCTCTTGTTGTTTCACCTGAAAAAGAATGTCTGATTTGTTCTAGAACTTTTGGTGCAATGTGCTGGATTGATGCTGATTTACTCAATCTATAAGTCTCCTCTATTGATCTTTAACTCCTCCATTCTAACAAAGAAGAGACAATTCTCCGCTATTAAATTTTGTCCCCAGAAGCGAGCAAAGGGAACAGTTGAGAGCCTTGATAGTCAAAGCCAAAAAAAACCTTTTTACTTTTTACTTATTAGACAAAGGTTGATGAAACACTTTCAAAAAAAAAAAGTTCTCTTAATAGAATCATAAGATATGTGAAGGTGGTCCCTTTAAAATAACTACATCTTGATCTTTTTGACTCAAAACAGCAAAATGGGTTTGGCCACAAAATGAGAATCAGCATTAATTATTAACAAGTCAGATTGAGCACAAAAGTTTCCCCTGTTAGATAAAGTTCCTCCCTCTAAGTCACTTTAAAATACATTTAGCTCATACATATTATACAAATCGAGTGCAGTAGATGATCAAGAAATAGAAAGAGAGCTTATTGGTTCCTCTTGGCCCTCATAAACGGACTAGGAGTCACGGTAATTATTATAGAGATCCTTAAGGTTAAAAGTTAGTAATAACAAAAAAGTTGTTTTTAATAACTTTTTTCCTTAAAAATTAAAATTTCAACATTTCCATCATCAATTTGAGCAAAAAATTTTTCCTTACTACATTTAAAGTAGACATTTTGTCTACTTTAAACCCAAATAAAAACTCAAATACTCGATAACTGGCCGGGTTCTGGTAAAAGCAAGGCGGCTTATTTGCCTAAACAATGTGACGCTATAACAGTCAAATACTACTTGGAAAAGAAGCGCTTTTATTGTAAAATTGTAAAAAAAATTTTTTGCTTGCTTGCAAAAATTGTTCTTTTTCTTTCTTTTTTCGCTAGTAGTAATGCTCGTTTCTCTTTTTTTATTATCATTTTCTATTTTCAAACATTTTTAAACTTTCAACTTTGTATTTAGTTTATGGCAGTTTTTTTTTTTACCTGTTCTTATTTCTCCTTAGTCATTTTTCTATTTATATCATTTGATCTGATTTTTACATTATTTGTTGCTGTTTTTTTATTCGTGTTTTTTCTAAGAAATTTTTTATTTTGCTTATCTTCATTTTCTTATTTATTCTTCCTTTTTGCCGTTATAAACCCTGCCATTTGCGATTACAATAGCAATTTTATTTTTTAAGTACGGATGTGACACCTGTTTTATCGTTGTTTTTTAAAAACTCAAACCCTTTATAATTATGTATTATTAAATAGCTCAGTTTAGGAAAATATATATATATATATATATATATATATATATATATATATATATATATATATATATATATATATATATATATATATATATATATATATATATATATATATATATATATATATATATTAAAGACAATTTATTTTTATTTATAATCTTGGTTATAAATAAAAAATAAATTGTCTTTAATAAAGCCAACATTACGCGTTCTTTTAAAGTAGTTGTATGTTTTTGTTGTGCTCCCTCATGCATAGAATATTCATGTCAAGGTAATTATAAAATACGTCACTTATTTTAATAGTTTCATCAATTATTTTAATAGTTTGACTATCTGGTCAATTAATAAACAAAATCATCAAGGATGATTTTGTTTATTAATTGACCAGAAAGTCAAACTATTAAAATCAGTTTTGTGGAAATAAGTTTTAACATATAGATCTAAAAATAAATGTAGTTGCAAAAACATGTCACATATTATATCATGTGTCCTTGGTGTATTATTTTAGAGTTTGTTTACTCTACACATGAATATTCGTAATATTCGTAAGTGCACCAAAAATTATAGAAATTATTAAATTAATATTGTCATGTAACATGTGTCATATGTTGTGTCTACTTTTGTCTTTGGTGTGCTACTCTACATGTTTATGCAATCTATCAAGATGTAATAAATGTATAATTTGTCCCCCAGAGAATATTTACCATTAACCTGATAGTACGTTAAATTATACCCATGCTCGTTCTAACCATCCACCAAGCATTTTAAAACAATTACCAAACTTAATAGAACATAGATTATTTTCCAATTCGTCAAGTGAAATTTTTTTTCAAAAGACTGCTTCTTATTATTAAGACGCATTAGAAAAGCCTGGATTTCATACCAATCTCCAATATCATTCAAATCTAAGTCTTTTTAATGCTCATAAACGAAAAAAAAAAATTCTATGGTTTAAACCTCCTTTCAGTAAAAATGTTGTAACCAAAATTGGACACCTTTTCTTAAACTTAATTGACTTGCATTTTTCATTACATCACAAAATTTTCAACAGAAACACAATAAAAGTTAGTTACAGCTGCATGCCGAATATTCGATCAATTGTTAATTCACAGAAACAAAAAAATTTGCGCAACAAGCTCACTTTTAATGATACAAATTGCAATTGCATTAAGAAAACCATATGCCCGTTAAATAACGAATGTCTATCAAAAAATGTTGTTTATAAAGCCACTTTAGCATCACCTAATCCCAGTCTTACGGAAAAATCTTACATCGGTATTAGTGAAAATGTATTCAAGCTTAGGTTTGCAAACCACCTTAAATCCTTTGATGCAACCAGGTATAAAAATGTAATTACCGAATTTACGTTGATTACATGACAATGTAATTACCAAAGGGTAACTTTTTTCACTTTTATCTGAGATCATATTCAATTTTTGATTCATTCTTAAGAAAAGTTTATTGGCAGCCACATTTATGGACAATCACATCTTTTTGTAACGTAGGTGCTCATTCGAAACAACTTTATTCTTATGAAAGAAAATAAAAAACGGCTCATATTTAAAGTAATAATTATTTAAATCATAACTAGATTCTCACTCGTTTGCTTGTCACATGCTCGCCCTCACTCACTCAGAGGTGTAGCTAGGCATTGGCATATGGACAGTTGTCAATGGCGCCAAAATCATTTCAGATAAATTGCATATACTTAACTTGTATAATTGTTTAGGAAATAAATGAATATATGCATATTAATTGTTTTTCCCAAAATAAGGGTGTTATTGATTTTGTTATAAAGCCGTTACAAAAATAAGCGTAATTCATGCGCGTATTCATTTACGACACATTCACAAAATATACATCAAAACATGGTTTTCGTTTATCTTTATGTTAAAAAAATTTAAACGTCATTGTTTAGACAAAAAATTATTTTGTCTAAACAATGATGTTTTTGTGTCAATATTTTGTCTAAACATTGACGTTTTTGTGTCAATATTTTGTCTAAACATTGACGCTTTTGTGTCAATATTTTGTCCAAAAATTGACGTTTTTGCGTCAATATTTTGTCTAAGCATTGACGTTGTTGTGTCAATATTTTGTCTAAACATTGACGTTTTTGTGTCAATATATTGTCTAATGATTGACGTCTTTTTGTCAGTATAAAACGAATTGTGTTTTAAGTATTATGGAGTTACAAAAAAGTTTTATATTCTTTCGTACAAATATTTTTTACCATGATGAAAATTGTTCTTTGACAAAAGAAATCTTTTCAGTGTCTTACAGTGTTTTTTATGCACCGCTCGGGGTTTTTTCAAATAAAATCTTGCTCTTTGTAGGTCTTTTTTAAGCCAAATTTTTTTTGTCTAGAGTTTTCTATATTAGATTATTATAACTTTAAAAATAAGTATTCTGAAAAATTTTTGTAACTGATGTAATTTATTGAGACGATTTTGTCTAAACATTAACGTCTTTGTGTCAATGCTTTGTCTAAACATTGACGTCTATGTGTCAATACTTTGTCTAAACATTGAAGTCTATGTGTCAATATTTTGTCTAAATATTGAGGTCTTTGTGTCAATATTTTGTCTAAACATTGACGTCTATGAGTCAATATTTTGTCTAAACTTTGAAGTCTTTGTGTCAATATTTTACAATTAACTTCTTAACTAAAAAAACTTCTACTTGTGACTCAAACCTGGTGTTTTAAGAATGTTAAAGTTACCCACAAAAAACGCTTCACTAATTCCCTGCGGTTATAATGCAGTTATTTTTTTCTTTTAGAAATTTTGCTGTTAATAAAATATTTACACTTTTTGTATTAATAATATATTAAAAGGGCCGGTGCAAGTAGAAGAAACATATTTGTTTTGTCGCCAAGCCCCTTATATGGAAAACAAAAAATATTCAGAAAAAATGATTCAAAATCTTTTCACATGATGGGAAAATTTTAGAATTTTTAAATCGGAACTTCAAAGTCATTTCCTTAATATTTTTAGTAAACTAAAAATTAATTTCTTTGCTTTTTATCCGGAAAAACAAGAAAAAACATATTAGTTACAAAATTTCTAAATTTCTATGCCTTTGTTCGCATAAAGAAATTTACTCTTAAGGTAAAAAAATTAGTTATATTTAAAGCAATGGCTCGTTTTACAATCTTTTGTTTAAAAATAATTAAAAACTTAAATTCATAAGGTGAGTTAAAGTTGTAAATATTGTAAAAAGGTGTAAAAATTGCTTTCATGCAAATGTTAACAATATAATTGATTGATTAAATTTAAAATAACAATAGAAATATTGATTGTATGTAACAAAATATTTTCAAAATAGCATAACATGGTAAGATATCTTGAATAGATTTGTTGGCAATCATTTCACAATATAAATAATTTGCAACCATTGTGTTGGTTTTGTAACAAAAATTAGTATCAGTACACAACCAATTAAAATACGCAAAGCAGGACTTTTTTTTTTACAATAATATCACTTTTTTTTAAAAAGCAAAATGTTCTTTGTTTTTTTAAATACAGTGCTCTATGATTAAGCATGTTACGATTAACACAATAACTAAAATTTGTTGATAAAATCATTTTTTTAAATATTTAATACGTGCAATGGGTTATTCGTCTAAATATATACACAAATTAGTTTTGCTATCAGACATCAACAACCTCAATTTTTTATTACGAAATTATCCTTCTGAAGTAAACTGTCGAAACACAAGCGGGTTAACAGCATTACACTTAGCGGTTATCTACTCTAATACAAACGCATTAAAAATGTTACTGAATCACGGAATTAATGCAAATTTTCAAAACAACGAAGGTAAGACTGCGCTTCACCTTGCTGTTCAGCTTTCAAATTTAATTGCGGTCAAACATTTACTTAATTACAATACAAACGTAAACCTTAAAGACAATAACGGTTTTAGCCCATTACATTTGTCTTTATGTTCTCAATCATATTTATCTAACCAAGAGGCGTTCATACTTTTATTAAAAAATGGGGCAAAAGTGAACGTTAAAAGTTTTAATGGAATAACGCCGCTTCACATTGCTGCAAATAGAAAATATCACAAAGCTGCAAAGATACTTTTGCATGCTGGAGCAGATATAAATGCTGCAGATAATTACGGTGTAACAGCACTTCACTACGCTGTATGGAATGCCGATTTTAAAATGATTAAAATACTATTAAAGAATGGAATTAATGAAGTCATTAGGAGTGATTGTGCAAAAACAGCTGTGCAACTTGGTTTAGAAAGTCGTACAGTAAACTTATTTCTCGGTTCAAATGAAGGATTCGTATAAAAATTTTGTAAAACATTTAATAAGAATTTAATTCTTTAAAAGTTTATAACATACAATGACATGTTGGGATAGAAAAAATAGCTATTTAGAATGAGAAATTGCCATGAATTATAAATGAGTTAAACCTTATTCATTTATAATTGAATCGTGTACAGGCCTTTATTAAACCTTTTTTGAAAACATGCATTTTAATTATGAATTTAAAGTTACCTAATTTACTTTATTACTTTACTTTGATTTAATACTTTCAAACTTTTCGTAAATATTTTTAATTTTTTATAGTAATTGTTGAACCTTTATAGATTTTAACATAAAATGTACTGTTAAACATTTAATATTCGATGATAGCATAAAAGTCAATATAATTTTATATTATGAAACAAAACTTATAAAGAAGCAATAAAGGAAGACAGCAAAAAAAATGTTTCTTTTTTTATTATTGCTTCGGTCATTAATTTTGTATTTCTTTCTTTATATTTTGAAAATTTTGTTTTAGATAAAATATAAGTTTTAATATTAAAACCATTATGTTTGTTTTAATATAACAAATAAACTTGGTTTTAATAACTAGCTATAAAAATAAATTGCTTTTATTAAAAAAAAAATTTTATGAAAATGTTTAGTTTTTTTTAAAAAATGTGTTGTTTAAAATAAATAATTTTTGAATATAAATATATAGCTATTTAATATTTTATAGTAAACAGAAGAAATTCATTCAAAACTGAATGAAGTTTAAACAAACCTACTTTAATTTTGAATTTTTCTCAATTTAATTTGTTTTCCTTAGAGTTTTTTTACTTTTTTTTTATTAATGGATTAAATTTAAGAAAATTTTAGGGATAATTATTTTAGGAAACTTTGTATTCTTTAAAAAGTAAAATTAATAAGTGTAAAGTAAATCCAAAACATTTTATGAAATTTTATGAAAAGTGTAAAATATTTTAAAACATTTTTGTTTATGTTCAAGTTCCGCTTTTTAATTTTTAAAATTTAATTAAAAGTAACTAAAATTTTAGTTTTTTAGGCAAAAAATACACATTAGAAAAACTTGGTCTCAAATTAGTAGTGGGGAAAAAACGTGTTTTTTAATTTGACGTTCGATTTCTTTGATTGAACACGAGTTTTTTTTTTTTTTTGTAAAAACACGTGTTTTTTTTTTTTGTTTATCAAAGTTTACGTCACACCTTGAAAAAACGACGCTTAGGCCAAGTTGAATGACAAGTAATGAATGAATGAAAGTTTATTCGCATTGTTCACCGTTAATCAATTAGTTTACTCGTATTATTCACCATTAATCAGTTAGTTTACTCGCGTTATTTACCATTAATTAATTAGTCTACTCTCATTATTTACCGTGGACGAATAAGCGCGAATTTCATAAGTGCAAACTGGCATAAGTGCGAATGGCGTAAGTGCGAGCTGGCATAAGTGCGAATTGGCATAAGTGCGAAATACAAATTTGCACTTGTGCCAATATTCGAAATTTTATTCCGCGCACTTATGCCGATTCGCACTTATACCAGTTCGCATTTGTGCCAGTTTTTGCAACTGCTTCGCACTTATGCTAGTTCGCACATATAGTTCTTTTTGCGCACTTATGCCAATACGCACATATGCTCGTTCGCACTTACGCCAGTTTTTGCAACGCTTCGCACTTATGCCAGTGGCCACATATGCCAATTCGTGCTTATGCAACCTCCCGTTTACCATTAATCATTTAGTTTACTCATATTTTTCTACTCTAAAATAATTTATATGAGTTACCATCCCCGAGTTTTATTACTTGAACTTTTGGTGGAGTTATAGAGCTTAAAGATTGTGTAAACATAAAAAAATGCCTATTTGGTAAAGGATTTTAAATAGATTTTTATTTATTATCATGTAAATATATATCATGAAGGTCAAAAACTCCTGCCCAATTCGGAACTCCTGACAGGTGTGTATACAAGACTTCCATTAAAATAGAAGAAATTTTATGGACGTATTTTCCCCCAGGGCCTATACTGACTTTAATAAATAACTTAAAAATCCTAATCTTAAATCAATATTCATAAAACCTGCAGACAAAATCTTTTTTGTATAATTAAAATTATATTAAATTTAACCTGGAATAAGATTTTTATATCAGGTTACATGACATTTTCATGGAATTAAAGCTTCAAAATAAAAAAAAAATTTTTATAAATATTGCTGATGACAGAGGTTAGGATGAAAAACCACACGTGTTTGTGTACTAAAATAAAAGGGTTTTTGCACCTTGTCTAAAATAGAAAGGGGATCATTAGAAGATCCGCCTCAGATATGGCAACAGTATTCTATACAAGGACGGATTAATGATTTATAGAGATAAAAAATATAATAAGGAGTAAGAAAGTGGCAAGTACGATAAAGAGGTAAAGAAAGATCGTAAGTAAGAGTTAATCCCTAGAAGATGAAGGGTAGATGACTCATCGAGTACATTACCGTTGATAAATATAGGAAGATCTAAATTATTGCGATAACAATTAGCCAAAAAAAAGTTTTATCTGAGTTAAAGTTCACTAGCCAATGAGAGCCCCATGCTGCAGCAGAAGTGAGATCCTTTGAAATGCCCCCTCAGAGCAATCAGCGAGCCAAGCCTTGCTGATTGCTCTGAGATTACGAGATTTTGTGACCTAAGAATAGCGGGCTTTGGCGTTAAACAAAACCTTTGTACAATGGTTTCTAGAAATAGTAAACATACGTCTGTTTTCTGGAGAATTGTTTTGATGAAAGATATGGAAGTAATGGTTTCGATTGAAAATTGCAGCAGCACAATGTGAGGAAAACCATTAAGAAGTGTGAGACTTCTGATGATCTGATGCCAGCCTGAATCCAAGAAGTTGAAGGATCTAGCCTGAATGTAAGAAGCACACTAGGCCATCACCGACACCAGGCCAAGCCATTCAGTGTGATGAGCATTAAAGTCAAACATTAAATAACAACGATATTGGCTGAAGGGTAAAGAGATAGAACTTGGTCAATTTGATCGGAAATAACAAAAAAATGAGTGTAGTCTTAAAATAAAGGAGAGCAATATAGAACAAAGAGAAAGGTGACTGAGTAAAGTGGTGCTAAAAAAAAGCCCATAAAAGAATAGACTGTGGATTCAAACCTATTTTCCCGACAAATGGGTGAATTCTTACGAATGTAAATGCCTAGGCCAAGCATGTGATTATTGGAGTCTTTTTAAATTAAAGGTAGATAACCATCAACACTAAGATCGCAAGATGAGACAGTTAAACTTAAATTAGTCTCACAAAGAGCATGTTGGTCTGGTGAACTTTGCAAAAGATAAGACTCAACAGAAGAAAAGTTACTTCAAATGGTTTTTTGTATTTTTGGTTCTTTAGTCATTTTTAAATTTGTTAAAGAACTTGACTTAAAATGCAGATAGTACTCATTATAGTCCAAGCTTATGTCTCAACAATATTATAATATAAATCCTACGTTGTAACAAAGGACTCCAAATGTGGCCTTGGAAAGTGCTCTATACTACATATTTTAGACCACACTTAAAATTTGCTATCTAAGCGTGGTCATCATATCTCAAACGGGACATAAAAAGACTATAACAAATCAAGCGCAAAACAACTAAAGTAATTACTGAGCTCAAACATCTTTCTTAAAAAGACAGACTCAAAATCCTTGCACTAATTACTCTGAAAACCAGAAGGAAATGTGGAGATCTTATACCAAAGTCTAAAATATTATTCATGGTCTCTAAAAAGTTGACTTTTTCACTCCACAAATAACAGCGCCTGCTACTTCACACTACAAATCTACTTCACACTACGCAGCCAAAACCTTTGCCTGGAAAAATAGAATGTGTCGAACTGTACTACATAAGAACTCTCTGCTAATGGATATTCACAGGTTGTAACCACTCCAGATCATTCATTATTTTAGACCGATTAAAATCTAATTCATGGATACCTTCATCTAAGTAATTTTTAAATTTTCTTTGGATTTGCTTTTGATGCAAAAAATTAAATTTGATTTGTACTTGCTTTTGATAGAAAACAGAACTATAAAAGTCATAAACATCAAGAGATATATCACTTTTTTGAGTTAATACATTTTTTATTTTTAATGATTTAATTTTGGCTTTTCTGCATTTTCTCAGATTTTTTATCGAAATCTTTTTGTAGCTCTATATACAGCTTTAAGACAAAACATAATCAATTACTTTTTTAAAAATATTAAAATTTAATGCAGAAGTTCTTCTTTTTTTTCTTCATTTAAGGAGTCATTAAGCAGTATATTTTTAATTTGTTTTTTGATTGGAATTTAATAACAAAAAAGTCTGTTGCATTATCTTCCAATGAAACACTTTTACCAGGTGAAACCTTAACTTTTTTCCACGCAATACAGAGCCTAGGCCATTTAGCAGAAGCTTTTCAAAGTTCTGCAAGACGTTGAAGAACTAATAGGGATAATAAGTCATAAGAAGATTTAAAAATGTCTGTTCTCAAGTTCTTGTTGATATTTTTTTTCTGTTTAGTGGGTAGAGACCAAATGTTTTATACGCATTTACAGCAAACTCTTACAGCAAACTCTTGCAGCAAACTCTTGCAACAAACTCTTGCAGCAAACTCTTGCAGCAAACTCTTGGAGCAACTTTCCATTCACCAATTACTTTTATTTATGCTGATTTCACGAGTTTCTAAACAAGAGGCTGTAGCAAACACTGTTAGGAGGTAAAAGGACGATCCTAATTTTGTCAGCTTCAAAAATTTCCATAACGTTAATAGACAAATAGCATACTAAAGTATCACATACGAGAGATTTTTGTGTGTTGTTGTTAACATGTCTAAATTAATGTTTGCATCAACTCTTTAAAACACAAACCATCAAACCAAACAATTTTGTCCGGTTATCATATTATTTTGTCCGGTTATCATATTATTTTGTCCGGTTATCATATTATTTTGTCCGGTTATCATATTAAACAAATTTGTCCGGTTATCATTCGTGTATAAATTAGACCTCCAAGTATCCAAGTATCCAGGTTCTCCGTGATACATTGGTATATTGACCAAAAAAGCTTTAATTGTTATTATTTTTTTTTGTAGTTACCAAGGTACTCACAGAAGTCCGATTTACGGTCTTATTAAAGACCGTACCGCGGAAGAGCATTTAACAAGGAAGTTGCCTTCTTCCTCACTAATGTCGCTTATTGGGTTAAAGCCTGTGTCAAACCTTGGACCTCTGGGTTCTAAGCCAGAACTCTAACCACTGCACCACGGCTGTGTTATTACGTAATTACCAACTTAAAATTCGGTAATTACGTAATGAAAATGAACTAAGTTCTATACTTTATTTAACTTATATGTTTACGGGTGCGCATCTTTTTTTTTTTTTTTTAAATTTTTTATTTACATTTAATACATGTCGTATAACATAAACTTGGCATCTGGAAGAAGATCATACTGATCTTGTCGCCAGAAGCAAATAAAAATTGAAATAGAAATATAAAATAATACAAATCTTTTAATATTTTCGATAAATGCTTTGAGTCATTTTATATTTAATAATTAGATTAGATTAATAATTATTTTTAAACTTTTTACGAATTTTATCAAATAAAAGTTTGTAGCTTTTGAATATTAATAGATTTGCATTGTATTTTGTTTTTAAGTATTTACACATAGTTTTTGTTTAATTTTTGAAGATTTTTTAAGTCCCTTGGTGATCTTTTATATGCAGCTTTTGTATTATACAGTATATATTTATATTGTGATGAAATTGATGATGAAATTGAGTTAATTGTTAGAAAAATGGGGAAATGATCTCATATATCTGATTTTATAACGCCATAATATAATTATCACATGAGGAATAACCAACGTTATCTTAGCGAGGAAAAAAATGGAACACAATGTTTTTACTGAATACAGGATCAATTTAAATCTTTAAAGTTGATTTTCTCCCGACAGACATGTTGTGACATAGACATATTGTGACATAGACATATTGTGACATAGACATATTGTAACATAGACATATTGTGACATAGACATATTGTGACATAGACATATTGTGACATAGACATATTGTGACATTAACATATTGTGACATCTAACAACTCAACAAAAAACCTTAAAATTGGTTGAAAACAAAACTGTGTTTGCATCTTCTATTTTAAAACACTAATTGACTTTTCGAAATATTGTTAACGCAATTTTTTACACATAAGTTTACTTTTAGCGCCTAAAAAAAATTCCTCGCTTTCGGTTTCTCATAATGAATGGTGCCCTTCTAGTTTAACTTCTTTAGAAGTAGTTTTTTGCAATTTGTGTTTATTTTTTGTTACTTTAGTTAGAGTTGTTGGTAGTTATAAAAATTTTATAAAATTGGAGGTAAAAATGGCATAATAAGTCATCTTGCCCCGGTGACCAGATGGCAAATTTATGAACTTTTTATTTTAATATTTATTTCAAATTGTTATATTTGCAAACTGAAAATTCATGCAGGCAATGAAAAAATTTAACAACATAAACATTTTGAGAAAGTATTATGGCTTCACGACTTATAGTTTTGCAACAACTCAGGGCTTTCAAAACGTTCGCCATGTTGCCCCGCTTTTTCTCTATATAAATATGTATGCTCTGTTGCTTCTTCTTCTTTTTTTTTTTTTTTTTAAGTTGATTAAGTTGACTTTCAAACAGTTGATTATTTAAATTGAACTCTTTATTGGTTTTATTTTTAAGTTTATTAAAAATTTAGCTCTTTTTTTCTCACAAATATTGTTCTAGTGGATCGGAGAAAAAACTTTTTTTTTGAGTTTATATTTTTTCATAATAAATAAGCTCATTCAAAAAAGTGTTTTTTAATTTATTAACAATTACTATTTAAGTTGAGTTTGAAAGTACTTTTTTAATTTGCTGCCATTATGTTTAAAAAGTGTAACAAAATTGCATTAAATATAGGTATTGGTATTGCACTAAAAAGGACATTTTTTTATTCTCCTTTTTTATATATATATCATGATATGCTGAAAGCATATCTTTGATATATATTGTTTTTTTTCAATAGACGACAAAATAATAAAAAAAAACTAATAAAAATAATAGGTCCTCGTTAACTGACATTTGCCAACTGCATAAACTTGCCGACTACAAGTTTGAATTTACTAAATAATTTTTGAAAAAGTTTTGGAAGGAAGGTTACACACACCTAAGTCCCCCTCTGCTAGGGATGCTCTTCCTTAAAATATCTTCAATAATGCTGACAATCCAATTTTTTTGTAGCTACTTCAACGCATAAATTATGTTCAAAACCATAGCATTAAACCATTTCAAGTTTATTCAAAAGCATTGAACTTAAAAAGATTTAGCAAATGAAAAGAAAAAAGAAAGAAAGAAAAATTTAAATGAGCGTATAACTCAGTTTCAATCAGTTGCAAAAGCTCTAATCGACAGTGGGATTCGTTACTGCCAGCCATCAACAATTGTTCATCTGTACAATACATTAACAGTGCTGAAGCTTATATATGGTCTTGAACTATGTAAATATGATACTAATTTTCTCAGCAAAATAGACGCTGTTGGAAGAGCAGTCTTAAAATCATTTTTTTGTATTTCGAAGTACAGTAAAAATTACCTTCATTCTTTTTTTAAAATAGAAGATATCTCAACTATTCTCCTTAGGAACAAAGTTAATCTTTTTATCAGGCTGCTGAAAAATCAAACTTGTTACTCACTGATAGTTAATCAAATACAGGAAACACAGAATAAGAAATCCTTTACAAACAAAGTAATTGATGCATGCAACACACTTGATTTAAATTTCATACAGTGCATGCTAAATGGCAAAAAAATTAAATTGACGCAACCCATCGTAGAGCTACAAATAATAATATTATGCTAATATTGAAAGAAACGTTCCAGTTTTGGAATTTGAAAGAAAAGAGAGAGGCGTTTAAAATCTTGATGGAGGAGAATGTTCCTAGAACTCTGTCCCAATAATATGTGGAAAACAAACCAGCTGTTTATAAGCATTTATTGCTAACAACTACAAGAGCCGTGTTGTTTTAGCTGATTTTTAATTTATTGTTTGACTATTTAATTATTATTTACTACTGGGTGATAAAGAGAAAATATAAAATGTTTTTTTGATGAAATTTGATTATATAAAGGTTGGGTTAAGTAAATTGACACTTTTTATTTCTTATAATTAGGACGCTAAAAAAATCATACAGAATGTTTTCATACAGAAATGCAATTATTTATGTATTAGTATTTCAGTTAAAATAATTTATTATTATTCAAAATGGCAACAAAACAGCAACAAGTGCGTGATGCAATTTTGCACGCTCGAATGGAAAATCCTAATTTGCCTCTAAAATCGATTGTAAAAACTGTTGGATGTTCTAAAAGCACTGTGATTAGAACTTTAAATAAGTATTTGACACTTAATAATACACAATAAATAACAATAATTAACAATAAATAGAAAGCCTGGAAGCGGCAACAACTTGAACATTAACAAAAAACTGAAGACGAATGTTTTGGCGAAAACAAGGGCAAATCCTAACATTTCTGAGCGAGATTTGGCACTATAATGCAAAACTAGCAGACAAATGGTTTGGACTATCAAGAAAAAGCATAAAATCAAGTCCTTTAAGATGTATAAAGCATTTCTGATGAAAATTTAGTGGCAAAAAGTTTAGCAGGAAAATTATACAAATTATTGTGTAGAAATAAGAAATGTATAATTATGGATGATGAAACTTATGTGAAATTAAATTTCAAAACGATTCCAGGACATCATTTTTATATGGGAGTCTCTAGGAAAAAGGTAAAGGCTAAATTTAAAACAATAAAACTAAAAAAAATCGCCCAAAAAATTATGGTTTGGCAAGCCTGGCAATCTTTGTGGACTAAAAACACAAAATTTCGTTACTAATTCCACAATAAATAGCCCAGCTAACATTGACAGACGGGTACCGTATGGTTTTTGTCTGGGCTTACGGGAACTGGATTTTGAAGGGTAGGTGTTTCGGTTTCCCATATGGTAAAAAAATCAAGCATTTGCTACGTTGGGTTTTATCTGGTTTTTATCAGGACCGAAGAATCTGGGGATTTGACGGGTTTACCATAAAGGTTTAAACTGTTAATTAAAATCATAACAAAACTTACTCGATGGTTGCCATTTTATAATTCGTAAAAATTTGACATTTACGCATTAAATTTTTTGTATACATTCTTTTTTTTACATTTTTGTATACATTGTAATTAAAGAGAAATTTTTTCGATGTGTTTTTTCACTGTGAAACTCCATTAAATTTTAATTTAAAAAGATGTTGTTTTAAATTTCATTTATTTATTACCATTATAAAAGAACTTTTTTATTTTTTATTTTTAAATAAATTTACAAAGTAAATTTATTTTTAAAAAAAGTCAGAAACATTTAAAAAAAGCAAACAGGCGAATGTTGTGATGAATAGGTTATATTTAGGGAATTAAAAGCTTTTGAATTGTTTTTAAAGATCACTCTTTTTCATTGATTTTTCTATATTTTATGCAAATTAAATGACTGATGTTAACGAAGTTTAGCCAGCGTCAGATATAAATAATAGGTGTTTACATATAAATGCAAAAAAATGACTTTATTGTTATGCATCAACCTCATTTTTTAATCATTAATATTTTTTGGCTTTGATTTAAAATTGTACGCTTGTAATATTAACAATAATTTCATAATATACATAAAAATAACTTATACTTACAATATCTATACTTGTAAATACTTATAATATAATACCTTTTTTTACAATACTGATAAAATGTTTATTGATATGAACTTTTACATTCAAACTTTAGTTATAAAACTTTAATTTAACTTGATAACTTTAACATAAATAACAAAAACTAAAAAAAGATAATATTTATTATATAGATCATGACCATATGCTTATTTATTATAACTGAGTTACAGTAAGTTAAACACTGATTTTGTTTTCCATAACTTAATTTTAAAATGTGGGGAAAAAAATGTTAAGTTCCAGGTAATAGGTCTTATATGATATGTATGTTATGTATATCTTGTATTTTGCAGCATGTTTAAGAAAATTCCTGCATGGTGCAATCTGACTGTTGACAATATTTGCATACTGATTCGAGTAAAAGTGACTTCAACAAACAGAATGTATTTGATAAATATTAGTAATGACAGGTTAGTTAATATAATTATAATAATAATGGTAATAACTTTTTATTATTAGAATTAGTGAGAGTAGGATAGAATTGCATGAACTTTTCATGAACTTTGGGGTACAAATATAATGATTGGAGTAAATATTACCCTTGTTTATTACCTTGATTAGAGTAATATAGGAAAATATTGTTTTTATCTAAAGAATATTCAGCTAAAGTCAATATTTTTTTAAGTATTAAATGTTATAAAAAAACATGTGTTTAAAAAACATGTAAATACTATAAAATAAAAAAATAAGTATTTAAGTATAAAAAAAAACACTTATTATTATAATGTATATACATAACATTAACTATGTTGTCTATAAAGTAAGGGTTGCAGCTGATATTTCAGCTTCAGCTTTAAACTCATTAGCTTCAGATTAAAGCTGAAGCTGATCAAGTCAGTATAATCAGCTTGATAGCTGATAGTAAAAGAGAATAATACTCCATAAATATTTTATATAAAAACATATAGGATTTATTCAATGAAAATCTAAAATAGTGAAAAAATTTATAAAGACAAGTAAAAAATTTTAAATAAAATTTGCCAAAAGTTGTTGCTATTTATAAATGTTGTTGTCAGAGCCTAGGTCTCGGTTTTTAGAGATTTGTTTAAAGTAGGTACCCAAAAATCTAATTCCATTTTTAATTATCTACATAATCTTGTGGTAGATTTTAAAGTTCTTGCAAAAGATGGTTTTATCTATGAAAATATTGAGTGTAAAATCAATCTTGCTGTTATCATATGTGATGCACCAGCTAGAGCATTTGTTAAGTGTATTAAGGGACACAATGGTTATAACTGATGTGAGCGTTGTGTTCAGAAAGGAGAGTGGTGTGGCAAGATAATACTCCCACATATTTCACTTATTTTAAGCGCTGATTCATATTTTTTTTCATCAAAAGGATTCTGAACATCTTAGTAGTGTATTGAATTGAATTGAATTTTGAGATGGTGACAAAGTTTCCTTTAGACTTTATGCATCTAAGTATGCCTAGGGGTATGCGAAGACTCATCAACTTATTGTTAAATTGCCCAAATGTTGTAAATTATCTCAGATTACAGTCAATACTTTATCTGGCGGATTGTTCCAGATACATCGTTATATTCCAAGAAAATTTTCTAGAAAACCAAGGTCTTCATTAGATATTAAAAAATAGAAAGCAACTGAACTTTTCTAGTATAAACTGGGCCAGTTGTTTAAAGAAAATGGTTTCGCCAAAAATCTATTCAAACTTTTTAGATTTTTCAGTTGCAGTTCTAATTTCATAATGTTTTATTTTGTACTTATTCTGTGCAGTTTTATTGGTGAACTTTATTGTAAGGATCAACTTGTTTACAATGTCCATTCATTAGCACATATAGGAAATAATACAGTTAATTTTTAAGTACTTGATAGATGTTCAAATACGAAACTTTTTCAGGTCAGTTAAATAAGCTTGTTCAAAGACCAAAGGATTGCTCAAATAAACACGTACAAGAAGATAAACAGAAGTTTAGTATTTCTTATTTTGATGGTAGTAATCATTGCATTAAGACACTGTTTACAGTTTAAAAATTATCAAGGTTTATAGTGTTTTGTTTCAGCTAATGAAAGTGATAATTGTTTTGAAATAAAAAAAAAAAAATGGTTAAGGTAAAAAGGTTTTAAAAAGCAGACAAATCTTATGACAAATAATAGGTTATGTTTAAGGAATTTGCATTCTTTTAGTCGTTTATACATTTTGTCTAGGGGGCTCATTTGCAAATTTAGGGGCTCTTTTACAAATGTAATGATTTTTTTTTATTTAGCATTTTTATATTTATTGAAAAAGTTTTTGGCTTTATGGTTGACCTTCTAATTCTATTTTAAAAATATAAAGATATAAAAAATAAAAGTCTTTGCAAAAGTTTCTTTGCGTATAAAGTTACGCAACTTTTCTTTCAAATTTATGCTATTCAAATGGATAAATTTGATTTTTAATCGTTGTGTTTTAGAAAAAAAAAGTTTTATCTGAAGTCTCTTTCTAAATAAAACGTTTTAAGTAATCAAAAAGACAGATTGCTTCAAAATATCTTAATTTTTTTATTTATTTATTTTTAATCATTATTCAAGCTATCAAAAAGGCTATTTAAGATTTCATTTTTTTTTTTTTTTCACTTTTCTTTATGAAGTCAAGAATAAATCGTCTTTTAAAGTGCCAGTCAGTAGAAGTTCAGTTAAATTCTAAAGGTTTAACAGCTCTAAAGATAAACAGGCTAAAGAAATACTGCTACCTAAAAGGCTTTATAAAAAACAAATTGGGTGATCAAATTTTGCTTTACTCTAAAACGCACTGAATAGCTAGTTAAACTCTAGAAGCAGTTAATAAGTATACCTCAAAGAGATTGAATGATTGTATCATTCTTGTTAGAATATTTTGGCAGAAGTTAGCCTCAGGACTACAAAAAGGAGAAAAGTATTATGTGTTTGGTTGATGATGGAATATCATTAGTATTAACTTTCTAATTAAGTTGTTACAGTTGGAAAGCTTTGGAAAAAACCCATTTAATTTCAACAGTAGATGTATATTTAATTATTTAAACCATATATAAAATGAAGGTTCACGTAGTTTTAAAATATTTTGGAGAATTATTGTCCAGTTATTTGTCCAAAAAGTTAAAACTATGGAATATAGTTGAAACCAGCTATAAAAACAAATGGGTAACAGTGGAAGGGCAGCAAACTTTACATCAGGTGTGCAAGATGAGTTCTATTTTAGCTTGATTAAAGTTACAAGGCAGCCCATTTAGCTGTGAACTAGACATTATTGAAGTAGATAAAGATATTTTAAAATAAAAAAAAGTTCGAAAAATGAGGGTCTTTATTTTAGGGATACAATGTAGGTCATTTTCGCAAAGGTCTATTATGTTTAAATACATGATTGTTGATATAAAAATACAAACCTCCATCTTATGTCTACCAAAGAACACGCTCATAACCTAGATGTTCTATAATTAAAGATCCAGCAGCAATATCTATCACATATGATGACTTTTATAGTTATTTTCCATTTTCAATAGTAAAAAACAAACTCTATGAATTATTTTCATACATAATGCTTATTTTTTTTTTTTGTTAATTATAAATGATTAAGTATATTATTGATAAATTAAACAGAAAAAGATTTCTAGTTTTCTACTTTTCTTATATTTAATGGTAATAATAATTTCATCTATTTTTAACAATGCGTTTATTTGGCAATATATTCACTTTTATTAAAATCGAAGTAGAAGGCTAATTAATTAAAAAAAAAAAATGATTATGATTTTCAAAATCAGCATGAAAAACTAATTAAGAAAAATTTGTTAGACTATAAAAAATCTAAAAAAAGACGATTATGGACCCCCCCTCCCTAATATAAGGTATATACAATATATATCAAATTATATACAATATATATATATATATATATATATATATATATATATATATATATATATATATATTTATATATATATATATATATAAAATTATATTTATTTAATAATTTTATATAATTTATTTATGTTTATATTTATGATATTATTTATGTTTATTTATGATATTATTTATGTTTATATTTATGATAAGGAATGTTATCAATTTGTTATATGAATCATAAGCATGTGTTCATCTATTACAAGTACATTTTAAAACGTTGAAATAAACGTCGATTTAAAGGTTTTTCTACCTTCAATGGTGAAAATTTATCTGAAGAGTGTTGGGAGAAGTCTTAAGAGTTTTATAACATAATAAAAATAATGTATGTGAAACTTATAAAATAATGTATGTGAAACTTATAAAATTTAAAACTAACAGTTAAATTTAATTTTTTTACAGCTCATATTGAAACGAGATATTTTGTAAAGAGGTTTTCAAAGAAGTCGTTTGAACAAAACTAGAAAAGCCTCCAATTCCCGATATAACCGTGAAAGTATTCGATACATGATTAAAGAAGAATCGTTTAAAAGTTTGCTTAATTTCGACAGTGTAATTTTAATTACTATTTTTTTGAAATAAACCATTCAAGTTATATATAATTTGCTTTTTCTGTAAATTTTAAACATTTAAACGTAGTTTGGTAAGATTTGCAATGGGTGGGACCCTCACGGGATACCCGGTGGGCATACCCATATGGGCCCCAGAGGAAAACCGCGGCCAAGATCCGGTGGGTTCCCGATGGGTTTCCCATATAAGTCCCATTTGCAAATCCAAATGGGCCCCTTACGGTTTTAAAGTACGGGATTTGACTGGGACCCATACGGGATACCCGGCGGGCTCACCCATAAGGGATCCATATGGAAACCGCGGCCATGATTCGGCGGGATACCGTTGGTCTTCCCATACGGGACCCATTTGACGACCCGTATGGGCCCCGTGCGGTACCCGTATATCAATGTTGGCTGGGAGTGAAATCTATCAAAAAGAGTGCCTTAAAAAGCGCTTATTGCCACTGTGGAACGCCCACGATGGTAATGCAATCTTTTGGCCTGACCTAGTGTCTAGTCATTACTCCAAACCCACGTTAAACTTCTACAATGCCAATAGTATCGATTTCATACCTAGAACACGCAATCCTGCAAATTGTCCTGAACTTCGTTCAATTGAGCAATATTGGGCAATAATTAAAGCCAAATTGCGTAAAAAGTTTAGGCAAGCAAAATCATGTATTGAATTTAAGAAGATAAAACCACCACAGAGTATGTATCTCACCTGGTGCAAAATCTTATGACTCGCATCAAGAGAAAAATTAGAAAATTTTATCGTACTGAAAAAAAAAAAAATATATATATATATATATATATATATATATATATATATATATATATATATATATATATATATATATATATATATATATATATATTTAATTTAGGAATATGCAAATAAATATTTTGTTTTTCACATGTGGTACGGGTAGGCAATTGTTTTGGAGAATTTTCTTTCCTAACCTTTAGTTACAATAATTTGTAAACAAATAAGTATACAAAAATTATTGAAGATTGACACTTATGTCATACCATGACGAACATATTATTTTTATATTTCAACTTTTTTTAAATAGATTAGTCGGAACTTTCTATAAATGAACACAAATTAGGTCTTTAATATGCTTGAAACAAATAGAAGTGAAGGCCTGGAGCAAATTAAATATGATGTTATTAGAGTTTTCTTTGATGCTATTAAAAAACATCTTCCATTATCTTTAATCTTTCTTTAAAAACGGCGTCTTTCCTGACCAATTAAAACTGGCAAAAATATACATAAAACTGGCGTCGATTCAATCAAGTTAAATTAGAGAAGAACCTTTGTAATATCACGTTTTTTGCAGATACTTTAACCTATTAAGGTAAAAAATCAGATAATTAACTTGAAAAAAAAAATTCATTTTTCACAAACTATTTTAGTTTTTAGTGATTTAGTAAACAAAGTTTTGAATAGCTTTGCTTAGCATGAAAAAACTAGATTTTTTCAAAACCATTCAAGTCAATCATAAGAACCATCATTAAAAATAGTAAGCATGTAGTTTAGATAGTTAAGTCAATTTATGAATAGTAAACTCCAAATGGGTAGAACCTTCTCTCTGAAATTATAATCAAGATGTACCAATAAGCCAAGCAATTCATTTCAGTTTATCAGCTGAAGTGTTTTTTACGGATCAATAGTTGGGGCTTAAAGAATTTCTAATCTGTGTCAATATTATTTTCTTAACCTAAGAAAGTTAGTTTATTTACTAAGTTTAATTTGTTCGGCTATTGACGTAAATGTTTTTATTCTACTATCTAAAAACAAATTCTTCTTTAAATAATACATTAAATACAGTGCTTGCTTAACGATTGGTTAAAAAATAACTTTTCACGAATATTCCCTTAAAATTAAATGAATTTTATTCAAAAAAAAATTTCAAGATTATGATTTAATATGAAGATAAAATTTGGACATTAAAAAACTCGGTGTAATTTAAAAGTAAATATGTATACTATGAAATAAAAAATTTACTTCTTTTTTACATCATAAGAAAAAACAAAATTTTTTTAAGTTAATGATTTCATAAAAAGAAGTTTATAAGACATAAACACAAATTGGAAATAATTGACGTTTTAGTCAGTGGCGGATTGAGGTTTAATGTCGCGGGGGGGAAGGGGGGCCAAGTCAATGAATAGGGGCGACCGGGGTTGTCTTCAGTAATTTGATCTTAATATATAATTTTTTTTTTTTGATTGTTTTAGGGGGCGCCGTTAGACCGTTCTAGGGGGGCGTGGGGCAGCTTGCCCCCCCCCCTAGTATAGTTCTAGTATAGTTCCTTGTGGATCTCTACAAGTTATTTTTTCAAAATCAGGTGAAAAAATTCCTCTAACTTGGTCATATGGTTTGCGATGGCTTAAATAGCTTTTAATAAGCATTAAAACGTTACTGGAAATACCATTCAGGTTTTTAAAAATATATTTCACAATATTTCATGAATTATTTTTAAAGTTGAGTCCAGCTACTTTTCTAGAAATGTTAAGAATTATAAAAACTATTGCCATCTTAATCAATTATAAAAAAGGTAAACTTGCATTCTAGTAAACAGATGATTTATATCTAGATATAAGAATTTGCATTTCAGAGACATTTCTAGTAATGATATCAACTGAACAGATGCTAATTAAATGATACTTTTTCGCAAAAAAATTTTAATTAATATTATGAGATCTTCAATTATTTTATTATCTTTTGATCGTTAGAGGTTAAAGAAATAATTGTTTTTTGTCAGGGCGCGTTAACACGCATTATAAAGATCGTATTTGTTTTTTCATTATTAATGTTTTTTTTTTTAATGCGCTGGAATTCATGATAAATATTTAGTTAATGGTTATATTTAAAATTTATATATCAGATCCGGTGAACAAAGACCATGTTAAAAATAGGTTTTTTATGTTTAAACTAAAAACCCATTGAAATACCGTAATATCACACTTAGTAAATATAAAGAGGTCTTATAGTTTACCCAATTTCTTTATCTCCAGATAAATGTTTTGTGTAGTCACATACTTTATACCCCTTCAAACAAAGAGAAACTATTTTACAAGAATGGTCAAAAACTCTGAAAGTTCCAGGATTTATGTGACATTCTGAGGATCGTTCCCTACTTCATTTTTCTTTTTTATTGTTTAGTTTCCTTATTTTTTTTCTTTGTTTATTTGTTTAATATGAGCTTGATCGTATGATACTTTCAGGTCCATTTCCACTGCACTGTCCGCAACTTCTGACCACCATTTATCGGAATAGAATATTGATGAAATTTTTGTATGATTCTAATCCCATAATGACTTTAGCAACATTAAATAACATTTATTTTTAGAACGGAGATGAAAACTAACGGTATTTAAAAGCTTTTTGTTGTAAAAATAATGTAAAAATATTAGTTTTTAGGTTAACTAACTTGTACTAGTACCCCGTTCGGTAGAATCGACACCGCTGAGTAAATAGCCCAGTCTATTAATGCACAATTGGAAGTAAGCAATAATAACGAACGTACTTAACTATATGTTTACTTTTTTAAAAAACAAACAAACTAAACAAGCGGTGTTTACTTTGGTTTCACCATTTCTTTTTCATTAAACCCATTTATGGCAATGTAAAATGTTTCTTGATGATAAGACCATTTTGTATAATACATATATACATGATATAAATTATAAACACACACACATATATATATATATATATATATATATATATATATATATATATATATATATATATATATATATATATATATATATATATATATATACATATATATATATATATATATATACACACACATATATATAATATAAAAATAATATATATATATATATATATATATATATATATATATATATATATATATATATATATACACACACATATATATAATATAAAAATAATATATATATATATATATATATATATATATATATATATATATATATATATATATATATATATAGTATAAAAAATATATGCAAAATATATATATATATATATATATATAATAAAATATATATATATAATAAAATACAAGGCTCTACCAGATATAATATATTATATTACATAGAACATTATGTTTATTTATATATAATTTTTTTTTGTATTTACTTTACATATTAGATAGAACAATTTATTTATTACATATGTTGATAGAACAAGATAATACTGAGGGGACGACATGATATAAAATATATTCATATATATATGATATAAAACATTAAGTATTTTAATTTAATCCGACGATAATTGAATTAAATATATTATCTTTAACTGCTTTTTCTAAACTAGATGAACGCGGTGTAATTACATTCAGATAAACATTTAGCGCGTATTGAGTATTTTTTTATTGTTTGTATTAAATAAAATAAACAGACCTATTTTCAACTTTTTATTTTAATTGGAAAAGATCCTGTTAAATGCAGTTTTCTCAGAAATCTTTTGATTAAAAGTATATTATCAATCATATTGTCTCATTTGTCTTTACAATAAAATTAGTATACAAAAAAATATTTGCTCAATAGTAAAGTAGATTTTAAGATATGTAGCTTAGGTAAAGTAAAGCTAGGTAAAGTTTTTTAGTTATGGTTATACAAAAATGCTTTAGCGTAAATGTTTACTTATTTTAAAATTAATGTTTTATTATAAAAAAGCAGATGCTTTTTAATAAATTTATGTAAATGTATTTATTTTGCAATTGAATGATTTTGCTTTTGAATTTAAAAACTCGTTTACGTTTCTATTTGCCATATGGTTCAATTGGGATCAAAAACGTGATCTATTTTATATAAAGTTTTTTAGGGTAACAAAAAGTAAAAAAAAAAGGATTTTTTTACGAATCAAATTTTTCAATATTATCATAAATTTTTTTTTTTAAGTATGATTCGAGACTTAAGAGTAATTTTTTGAATTCCGAATATGTTTAGGAAATAGCTATTTTAAAATGTAAACAGTTGATTATTTGTTATATTAATTAGTAACATTATTTTTCAGCCATTAATTGATATAAAACAATTAATAACATTTAATTGCCATTTACCATAATTGTACGTAACCAAACGGATAGTCTAATCAAAAATTTTAATTTGTTTTTTTCGAGAAAGTATTTAAGAAAAGCTTAGGTTAAATTGTTATTTACAAGATTTTATTGGCATAAGTTATGCGCAGTTACATAATTTATGTATAATTTGAATAACGGATTATTATTATTTTTTTTGTATATAACTTTTTTTTTTGTATTTAATGTATATAATTTATTCGTACTTAATAAATGAGTTATTTCTTTTTAAATTTCTCAAAAAAATAAATAATAAATAAATAAAAAAGAGTAGACTTAAGTAACAATTAAAAACCAAATTCGTTTCTAGATATAAAAACCCTCCTACAAGCCATATCTAGATAGAAAAATTACTTATTGTGACTTGAGAAAATTCATGACGATCATGGCGCGCCGATACACGCAAAAACTTTTTTTCATATTAAAAATATATAATTAAGAAAAAAATATTATTAGATTAAAAACACGATTTTTTTTTGTTTGTTTTTCCTTTATTTGTCTTAGTACTATCAAATGCAAGAAAGTACTTCTATTCTTATTAAAAGAAAAAATAGGACAGAAAACGACTACGAAAAGTATAACATAATTTTTGACTTTTCTCCGTTTGATTTTGTTCTGAATTTCTGTTTAAATGTTAACAAAACCCAAAACTATTAAATTCAGAGGCTTTATTTAAAACAAAAGAATTAAACATTATCTTTCACAGTGGCCAGTCTATTGTCTTTGATAATTGTACTTTTCGAACCGCGTAATAAGCATATAATACCTATTATTAAAAAAGTAGTCCCTGCTATGTTTTGCAAGAAAAGCATTACTAATAGGAAACATAGCACATTTTCTTTCAGAAGAATAAGTTAAGTTGTTAAATTTTCAATTTTCAAGACATTTCTTGACAAGTAACTTAGTTTTAAACTAAGAATAAAAAAATTTCAAAATTCTATTGTCAATCGTCCATGCGAACAAATAAACAGTTGAAAATTCTCTGTTTGCGCGTGAACACTCTGTATATAACTGTTAATCGCCAAATGTTTCTTTCGAATTACAGTGGGATCCTTGCATTACAGGAAAGCTGCAAGGAAGCCTTTAATTTCGGAAATATATTATTTCGAATCAGATTTTGGCAAATCTTATTACTAAGTGTAAATGTGGGTGCAGTTTAATGCCTTTGCTCATAAAGCGATGAGTACGAATAGGCAGCAGGACTTTCTGTATTAATATGAGGAATGTTTTGAATAGAAGTATATGTTGGCACAACTACGGAGCTACCACTGACTCCTGGTCCTCCAATAAACGAACTAGCATACCGATTTTCAAACTGCCGGCTTTCAGACGAAGGGTATCTGTCTGAAAGATTAATTATATCCGCTCCGCTACCACTCGAAGATCTTTCTGCCCTTGTTTCGGCAGTCGATGAATGCAAACCGGAATAGTATTCGTTTTTGCTTGAAACTGCCCCGTAGTAATCGTTTCCAGCAGCAATAGGGCTTGCATTTTTGTTTAACGAATAGTAATCGGCAGCTGAAGGAGTGGTAGTTGGAGCTGCTGAACCAGTTCTTAAGACTCCAGTTGAAGACATTGACTGACGGGCAAAATCACTATACATACTTGAATAAGCAGGATGGTTGCTGTTGCCCATTACTGGGTACATTGTGCCATACATTGAGTCTTGAAAAAAAGGACTGGGATAAGGGAATTTCATGGCAGGAGGAATTGTGTTAATGTCCGCAGCATATGGAAACGACGGCCTCTCTTTTTTTATGGCTTGACGAGGCTTACGTCTATTTGCTTTGAACTTGTAATTTGGATACTCTATGCTATGTTGTTCTTTTAAGCGTTTTGCTTCCTGAATATAAGGCGATTTTTCGTAGTCACTCATACGTTTCCATTCAGCTCCAAGTATTTTTGAAATCTCCGAGTTGTGCATGCGAGGGTGAACTTGTGCAAGTTTTCTACGTTTTTCACATCCAAATATCATAAACGGATTCATTGGTCGTTTTATTTTTGTCGATTCGTCATTTTTTATTTTATTGTCTGGTTCACTTTTAATGTCATTCGATTCTAATGTAACTTGAGTTCTATTTTCATAATGGCCATTTTGTTGTAAAGCGCTAGTTTGGTTGATTGCTGAAGCGCTTTGAGAAGTAACGTGCTCATTCGCTAACTGTTTGTGTTGCATTGAACTCATAGCTTTTTAAGCCTTTATAAACGCTTTTGTGTTTTTTAAATATATAAATGGCAAACTTCCAAATAACTTCTAGCCTTCTTTTTATAAACGATAGGTTTTCTAACCAATATATTTATTCATTCAAAGAAAAACAAAATAAACAAATAACTTTTTATGATAACCTTAATTTTATCTCAATTATTCTGACTTTGAACGTTATATCTGCTATCGTTTGTTATAATACCAGCTGCCGTAATGAAAGCTTTTAAGCGCGTTATTTATTCCATTGAAAACGCGATAATAAAAGACTCCACTGTTAGCTAGGAATTTTTACAACGAATCTTTGTAATTAATTATTAGCGTACAATAATAAAAACTAAAAAGTCAATTATTCAACGGATTTGGTATTATGCTCTATTATTTGAAATCCACGAGGTGAAACCCTACAATGGGAATAAAGTACAAAGTTGTAAAAATCAACTTTAGGATCGCTGTAGCGTAATCGATCATTAAACAAAGAACCTTCAACGGGAGGCCCATATAAAAATATCCAGTTGTAATTTATAAAATTTATCGGGATATTTTATTATTATAAATTACGAGAATTTTTATATCGAAAATCTCGATGAAAATATTTTTTAATTGTTTTAGATAAAAACAAAAATTAATTTTTTGTTGATCATTTTATATGCATTTTATTAGATACATAAAATATGATTTTAAAAAAAAACCTGACAAAAAATACTTTTAGCAACAAAATAAAGTTCTAGTTATAATAAAAACTATTATAACTAGAACCGTAGAAAAATAGCGTCCGGGTAAAAAATAGCGTCCGGGTAACCTAACACGCAATATATTGTTTACAACAAGGAAATTTTTTAAAATAAAATAAACGAAAAACGATTTAAAAAAGACCGCTCAAATTTTAATTGCTTTTTTCTTTTTCGTTACTATTCAAGAATTTGCTAAGTTTTTTTATGAAGCAAATTTGTAAATACAATTATATATATATATATATATATATATATATATATATATATATATATATATATATATATATATATATATATATATATATATATATAAATATTAATTTACTGTATCTTTAACGATTTTGAACTTTAAACATAATATATTGAAAAGCTAATTCCGTCTTCAACTCTGTCTTGTTAACACCCATTTTAAATCTATTACAAAAGCGTTTAATGTTGATATCAGCAAAATAATGTTAATATAGAAATTAGTAAATAATTTTTATTTCAAGTTATTAAAATTTTAACAATGGAAAAATAACCAATAGACTGCTTTTGTTTTTAGCGCGCATATAAACATTTAGTAATTTTTGTATTTATTATTTTATATTATATACGAAATGAAGTTTATTTAAACTTTTTAATAAGTTAAAAGGAGTGTCAACTAAGATTTATGAATGCAAAGAAATTGCATAGACAACAATATAAGTTCTCGTTTATCTGCATGACGAATAAATCAGATTAGTTCGCAGATGTTACGGAAACCGTTTCGGACGAGTGGGAATAATGAAAACGAGGCTTATACATTAACTATTTATGTAATAATTTATTTTTTGTAATGCTATTTTAGTTATGATTTTATGTGTTTTTTAGTTTGCTGAACCAATTGGCCGTAAAAGTTTTTTTAATAATGCTAGCCTCGAAAGTGTCATTAGTTACCGATTGTATATGTTCAGGGATCTAGTGCCTAAAACTAGCTGTTAATTTATTTTCATTGTCTGCAACCCTAGCAACCATAGATGTTATAGATATCTATTAACCTTATGACTATTTATATTACAAATGAATGATATACATTTTTAAATGTAAATTATATTATCTAAGAGTAATGTTAAAATTATATTATAATTATATAATAGATGTAACTGTATTGTTACTATATAATAGAAAATTACTATTACTATTTTTATTATTGTTATTTATGTATATGATGTAAATTATATAAAAAAATAAATTTTGTTCTTAGGATTCAAGATTTAAATTTTTGACGCAACCAATCCGCATTGTTTATTAAAAGCTGAATTTTTTTAGTTTGTAAAAACACTAGGTCAGCTTCCTCACGGCGTGATACTCTTAAACCCATTTGATACTTTTCAATGAATTAACTTTATTTTTATCTTACTTTTATTAAATCTTTTTTAGATCTTTATATTAATTTTTGCAGTCAAAAATTTTTATAAATGTTAGTTTGTCACTTTGAAAGGTTTTATGCGAATACATAAAAATTTATTTTAAATGTTTATATGTCATCCTATATCATGAATATTTGTTATACAAAACATTAAACGTTTAAGTTTATGTAATGTATAAATTTTTGTTTAAGAATCATACAAGAAAACGCGAGAATATTTTCTTTAAGTATTAACAAAGTATTTAATTTTTTACATACATTTTTTCCCAGCTATTATTTGTGTATTAAAACAAAAAAAAAAATTAATATAACTGTATAAAGTTTTAAAATGATTGTTAACTTTTCATATTCCTATATTACCGGGGTAGTTACTAAGCCTCTAAGACCAAGACTGGCGCGAAGGGGGTGTGGGGAGTGTAACCCCCTTCCCCCATCAATGATTTTTAGTCGGCAAATTTGACCCTTAGTTGGCAAATTTGACCCTTTTTGACTAGTTCGTCGGCAAATGTCGACCCTTTCGATATAGGGCAGTTGGTAGTTTAAACAGTTAATCGGCAAATGTTGTCATGCAGTCGGCAAATTTTCGAAAACGAGGACCTTTTTTTTTTTTTTTTCAATTGGCAAAAGTGATAATACCCTCCCCCCCCCCCCCCCCCCACGTGACACCTACTCGCGCCGGCCCTGTCTAAGACGTCCACTATCGAGTTAGAATAGAAAAATATTTTAATAACCAAATCAATTGACTGTAGTGCTCAAAAAATAAAAAGAAGAACAAATTTTTCTTCACATAGATAAAAAAAATTGATTTGAACAACTTATTTACACCCAAATAAGTACTCTTTTTATTATTAGTCTCGGCACAATTGTGTGCTCAACTCTTAAGAGGTTCACTTTATATGACTGGTATTTACTGTTATTGTATATTTCAGTATTTCTATTAAATAATTTGGGCTTTTTATTTTATTTATATTATATACGGAGACAGATACTTTAATTTAAGATACACGTATACATATATATATATATATATATATATATATATATATATATATATATATATATATATATATATATATATATATATATATATATATATATATATATATATATATATATATATATATATATATATATATATATATATATATATATATATATATATACATAAAAATGTATTTACAAAGTGGTTTATGTAATCTTATAAGAAATGAGATAAATAACTTATTTATCAATTTATAAAAAAAAAATATTTACCTCATTTTCAATTTAAACTTTACGTTTTATTAACTGATAAAATCTGATAAAATACAAAAAAATTAAAAATTTATTTATTAATAATCCATAACAAAATGTCTGCGAGAACATCTTTGTGAAAAGATAAAATGCAAATTTTAAAGTTTAACTCATTATAAAAAAGGGGGCTGCCATTTGACTTTATAACACTTGGTTGGTTCTATTGAACAGTTTGTTGGTCACAATATCATTTTCTATTGGGTAAATTTTGGGATACAAATATGGTTAATGAAATTACCTCATAACATCTAAATGACATTACCTAACTATATAATATTATATTCTATATAAAAAATTGCATTTATTTTTAAAAGATCCCAATTTTTTTTTAAATATATTAAATATAATTTTAAATTATTATTTGTCACAGCTGAATAATATTGCTTATAGCCTTATAATCTAGGTTAAAATGGAAGGTTTCTGGATAGTAAACACGCAAAATATTCCCTCAGTTTTAAATTCTCTCTTTGTTAAGTCCAGCCTGCATAGAAAATGTTGTTTAAACCCAAGCTGTCAACCAACATCTCGTCTATATAATGTTATGCCTTATATTTTTTTACTTTTTGAATAATATTTATACCCTGTTTTAAGGTTATGTTGAAAAAATGTGATGTTCTTTACTTTCTTTTTCTGATTTTTCTTCTTCTGATTAGTTTTTCTTAACTGAGTTTGCATTTTTTGTGAGTTGGTTAAAAACAAATAAACAAAAATGTAGAGATTTAATATTAATCGTAACAAAAAGAGGTTTAAGATAAAACGATGACTACTGTGATATGAAAGATATTTTGCACGCAACGCTCTCGCAAAGCGTTAAGCATTAAAAAAACATTTTGGTTTAATATAAACAAAACAATGTAAATTAATAATAAAAAACATTAAAATAAAAAACATAAATAGTACAAAGGGGGAATAAAAGTTTGGAAAAAAATGATATGAAATTTAAAAGTTCACCACTTACATTGGAGTTGTAAATGGGGTATGTAAAGAGGGCATCCATAAATTACGTAAACAGTTAAACCGCTGATTTTAGGACACACGCAACTTTTTTTTTTTTTTAGTTTACAATTATTAATCGTAATATAACAATATAACAATGTATAAACTTGGTATCTGAAAGAAGATCCAAATGATCTTGTCGCCAGAACTATATAAAATATACCATACATGTATATATAATAAAATAAAAATACAATTGAAATAATAACTATTAACAACCCCTTTCCCCGTAGGCAAAACTGTATTATACTTTAACAAATCCTTCCTCGGCGTACGTACGCATTATTTATAACAAAATCAACCCCCTCTGAAACGCATAAATTTTTCAAAACATTCAAAACTTTTTGTTAGTTTGACAAATCTATGATACATAATACAATATTTATTTTTCTAAACTTATGAAATTCTATGTTTTTTAAATGAGAAAAAAAAAGAAATCAAATTTTAGGAGAGATAGAGGATGCGAGATAATCAAACCGCGTAGACACTCTATATTAACACACGCACACAGACACACACACACACACACACACACACACAACTTATACGCATTCATTTTTGCGTAAACGTCTCCCCAAACCTCCTTACGTACTTTATGGAAGACTCCAAAGTACGTTATCCTTCACAGATAATTCTTTTTCAAAAAACGCTATTCAAGAAATCCGTGAGATTTCATAGGTCTCTTGAGACTGTGTTTAGTTTATTAGATGTAATTAGAAATTTAAACATAACTAAATAAGATTAAAGTTTTTTCAAAAAGTATATAATAACAGGGTAGAGCAAAGTTGAGCATAGGGACAAGTTGGGCAATTAAAATATCTCAAAAACT